AATGTATGACTTGCCTGTGCACTTATTTCTTCTGAAATCTTTTCCAGAGAACAATTTTCCACTTCCTCATCTAAAGAACGAGGACTCGGTTGTTCATTCTTTTCCTTTTGCACCTTTTCATAGATATGTTAATACACGAGTGTGTTTGTTTGAGAAAGAGTGAAGAAAGCAAATAGGTGCAGGCATTTCTGTTCTAGTACAGTACTAATCCCAGCCATTCACTACCGAATTCGACAAGACTTGGAAAGCTAACATGACGTTTTGTAAAGAATTGACATCGGGGTTTCCTAAAAATGCTTTCATATGCAGTGTTAGATTTGCTTGACCTGGCGCTGAAAGGTCCGAAAAGATCACAATGATGAGAATTAAGGCTCTGCTAAGCACTTCCACAACGCCGACGATGATGATGTTAGTAAATAATAAAAGAAAATTCAAGTACATCATTGTCATCATAGCAGCAAGTCTGTCATGGTATCAACAACCCGACAAGCTATGAGAAGAATGCCACCAATTGTTTTTGTCGGCAAAGAGCGATAACAAGGGTGCCCGATTTCCTCCCGTCGCGTCGCGTCATACCACTGTACGCATGGCTCCAGACAGTGATACCGTAATTTGTGCATATCAGAATCGAAATAACGTGATTACAGCAAGACATCCTACTTTAGATCAGGCATGGGATGGGTAACGCAGTGGTATTGATGTCGCTCATTACGAGCGCGGTGCTATTTCAAACCCACCGCAGCCTCTCATTTCTTCAGGGTCGAGAGATTGTTAGCAGACTTTTCGAAATCAGCTCAGTCCTTCGACTGCACCCAGAAACGCTTTAGCACAGCTTTTCCAGGATTCGAGGAAGAATTGACTCGATTAGCAATCAATGATATTCATTTAAAAGACGACAATGCTAATGCAGCAGCTGAATCTACACGTGAGAAGTTCAAAAACCTTCGAAGGTGATAGATGCCAGAAAACAAAACGAATGCGGATAGTAGGCTCCGTACAGCAAAAGTGAAGATAGGTCAAGTAAAATAAGATAACTGTTGTGTCGGGAGCGGGTAGTGTAGTGGTAGTGTTCGCGTTCTTTACGGGGTCATCCAACCCACGCATGCTCTGACTCGACACCCGGCCCATCAGGACTCCCGAATACTTCTAGGGTCAGAAAATCGCTACCAGAGTTGTCTGAAAACTGTTATTCTTTATAGTCCAAGTCGTAACGCTCTGTCCCGACTATCCCCGGACTCCACTGAGAATCCACTCGCCCAGCATTCAACGACACTCTCAGGGAAGACGAAAAATCCTCAACCAAGCGTAAAGAAAGCTAGAAGAGCTTGCAGATGCTTTATGAAAGAAGCTTAATCAAACGCAAGTAGCGCTAGGATCCACACAGTTTGATACATGTGATATCCAATCACGTAAGAAAATAAGTAAAAATATGCTATGTCAGCATTATGGGCCATGAAATACGATGGCATACTTCTTCGATAAAGATGTGCGTTGTTTCCTGCAAACCAGTCTGTTAGGACTTCTGTCGATTATTTAACTTGAATTTTTTCTTACACCGTCTGCAATTACAAGGACATGTTATGCTTTCCATATCTAGTGCTATTTTTTAAAATAATCTTCCTCCCTGCCATACAACCGACACCTAAAGCTAGTAATTATTCTTCCCGTAGCAAAATCTGCTTTAAAAACTTTGCAAATACACATAATTTTGTGGAAGAAACCCGGAAAATGTTTGAAGATGTAGATGAGTGCTAGAGGTGTACTAACGAAGGATGACTGGCTCCATAATAACTTTCTGCGTCCGGATGGAAATGCCGATGTCTTTTTCATCCTGCAAAGTTCCACCGTTTCAATGGCGTACGGAAATTATTGCACAACGCAGTTCCACCCCTAAGAACACTCGAATCCACACCGAGGTGATAAGTCCTTGAAAGTAAGGTATCATCAAGCAATCGTTGGTAATATAACATTTTATCTTGACTTTTACTTATTGCTTATTCATTTTCCATGACAGGATGCTATGTGAAATGCAACGAAGAGGATGCTGGGATGTGGATAAAGCTCTTAGCCCTGGGCGGGTTTCAAACCTGGGATTGTCCCATAGGGTGCTCACGTGTTATCCACCACAACAACTAACGACGCTATCAGCATTCGCATGTCAACGAGAATGATCTAGAGGGCAGGAGGGCACAAATCGGAATTGAATCCAGTTAAGCTGAAGCTGTTGTCGTTTCCTCGACGAGTGATTGATGATAGCACCGATAAAGTTGAAAACGGACTGAGATAAAGGCAAGGCAAGGGCCCCGGTTGTAGTGGAAAGCACATGAACCCTCTGTGAGGTTAATTGCTCCCAACTGACGTTCCGAGTTTCGGTTACATCTCAGCGTCCATGTAGTTGTAATTACCCAGATTCATGATTTCTTTTGTTATTTTTTTCTACGTATTTATGTATATACTAGTGTTCTTGCATGTAAACTTGTATGCCTATGTATGTACATATATGTCTATGGATGTGTTTATGTATGTATGTAATGACATTTAATTTCTTCCGATGATGCACATCAACATTCCCTAGGGATAGGAAATGCCCATCTACGACAACATTTGGACGTGGCCCTCACAAACATCATTAACTTTACTTGTATAATAAAGGTCTGTATCGACGACGACAAAAACGGCAATGGGATGAATGCCCTTCGTACCGAGTTGGCCTAGTCTTATTCTAAACCAACGGTGTGCCACATTGGCGGTCGTTCATGCCTATTAGGCCCCTACTTGTCCTTAGTTTTTTTATTTTATTGTGCCCTTATTATTTAATTCTCTCCTACTGTTAGTGTTTTTGAGATTTTCAGTGGGATCTCAAGGTAGTAATAGTAATTCTGACGAGTCATTGAGATGCACTTGTTGTGCCAAGCTCTTCTTAATAGCGTTTCATTTTCTACTAAATGATCTACTACAATAATAATCACGCACAAATTAGGTCTACAAATACTCTAATGGACTATTCGATAAGAAATTTCAATTTTGTGTAAAACATTCAAATTAACAACCAAACAACTGGAACGATCCGTCGTAGATCATGAAAAAATCGATAACTGTTTTGTACACCATTAAAGAATTCATTACGACACCAACCAAATCGAATTTCATCAGGGATTGGAAGAAAAGAAAAAATAACAGAAATTTACCGAACTATGGCCAATTTGATGTGCTTCCAATCAATTTCTCACAGGTGGTTTTTTCTCTCTTCAGCGTTTTTTATTCAAATTATCACTGGTTTTCTTCTCTCACTTTTTTCCCATCAAGATCTTCCTATCGCTTTCTTTCTCCCACGGTAGTTGATCACCATGTTTTACTTCATTGACCTCTTCGACTGCATTCCTTAATAATGGCTGTCCTTGAAGTCCCTGTTTTTTTTTTTTGAAACTTTAACGTTCTGTCTTTTAGGATGAGGACGAGAATCTTAAAATGGAGAGCATTGAAGATAAGCAATTCTCACTGACAGTGACTCCCTGAAGACATTAATTGAATAAAATCCAAATCGCACGCAGTGCTGGCGAGCTCATGGGAAGCATTTGAAGGAATGAGTTCGAAACAAGTCCACTTGTATCGAAATATTTGAAATAAAAGTGTACAAAGCAGTTCTGTATGAATTGGACGAAAAGAAAACGAATAAATACGGTCATATTGAAGGAAGTGTGTGTGTGGAAATGATCGCTCAAGGAAGAACGACGGCATTCTGAGTGACATTGAGAGCACGTGAGACACAAAATGAATTAGAAGAACGTGGTGATAACTTGTTCGCGCTCATCAGATCATCCGCATTATGTTCTTGAAGTTACAAGGAAAATCTACTATGAAGGCCTGAAAAGCACAGATTTGGTCAAGAAGTTCAGCATCAGTAGCGGGTACTGATCATACATATGTCAGAGCAAGCGAACTCTTCCGCTCGACTACGGGCCAGTCACATTTTTTAAACCGACTTCGTAAAAGTTGAAAGGAATGAAATACAAAGCCCTTCCTGCTCTTGTGGTGCATTCGCTCTCTTTAAATCCAACTGGTTGCTTCCTTTTCACATATCTCGCGTTTTACTTGCCAGGAGCCCTAAGTAATCAAACCACCGAAGCGTTGAAGAATATGTCTTCAGAACGCCTTCGATCAGCGGAATCACGGAGTTTTGTTGTGACGGAATAGACTTTCTGCGCTTAGAAATCTCACGTAAGTTCATTCTTCCTTCAAGAATCACCAACTATATTCTTCTCACTTGTTTTCATACATTTCATTTACTGTAAGGTGATTATTAAAGGTGTTTCAAGTGTAAAACTATATTGCAGATACTAGGAATGAAATTATGCAGTATTTAATACCAATATGCTTTTTTTCGCTTCGGCTCCACAAGTGGTATATTGGTATTCATTGGGAGACCATATGGGTTGCATCTGAGATGTCAGTGAAGAATCGAATTCATTCTTAAGATCATTTAAAGTTCTTCCGAAGGAAATTTCTGTGGCAATTTTTTTACGGGATATTTTTCCTGCTACCATTGAATTATTTTACTCGTCGTTTCTGAAAGTGTTAATGTCCTTGTCTTCAGAGAAATTACAACTGCCGTCGGTTATTGTAGTCAACTTATTCGTCAGCCAAACGAAGAGACAGTGTGCCTCGATAATGAAAGTCGAATTAATTAATTCGTGAAAGATAGGCGTGGCATTGAGCATCACATCGAAGAGGGAAGCAATGTGTTGTGCTACGGATCCCTGGAGACATGCCGACCGCCCCAATCAACACATATCCCCGGGGATCCAGGCGCCGCCGGGACCTTCACCGAATACTCTCCGGCACGATCGACGAACCTATTCACCACCATCACCAACCCCAACCTCCACCGTGAAAATTACCACGAGTGTCTCATATTCACTCTGATTGCTCAACGAATCGTTCATTGTCGTCAGTCATCACTGTGACGTGCTATTATCCTAATCACATTCTGCAAGAACACTATGTCACGACGAAAACAGCTGAAACCGCAGCCAGTTAAAGGTGAGCGATGTAGAATTTCGTCCACAAGTGAGGAAATCATCTGGTTTAGATAAGGAATTTTGATTTATTCTGCGAAATCTTTCAGATGATGCACATTCCGCAACCGACGTGGTCATTGGAGACGAGAAGCGAGAGAAGAAACGGTAAGCGTGATCAGGCCTTATCAAAATTTTACTCAATACTAACATAACAGAGCAAGGTTTTTTCTCTAAGGCTATAAAGTTATCAAAGTCTTCGTTGCTCTATCATTGAATGCCTTATCAAATGTTGTTGAAAAACGAGCCAGTTTTGTCACCTATGTGCTAAAAAAATCGTGGATCACTGCGAAATCCCATCCAGAATACGGTGTTCCTCCCTTTTCCTGTCCTTTGTCCTTCAAAAAAAAAAGGTTCACCGTGAATGGCATTTATGAGATAATAATAGCGACTAATTACTGTTTCGAAGAAAAACTCGTCCACATTTTAACCATTTTATGAGTACAAAGTGTTAAAATCGTGAACGAGCATTCTCCTTCGTTCCCATCCAACCAACGGTTTCCAATTTTAAATTGTTCACAAAAAGTGTACTTGCACTATTTTGTGCCTGAAAAACAAAATTTAAATAAGACGATAAGCGCCTCACGACGATTTTTTCCAGACGTCTATTGAATGACGTGAAATCGGAGCCATCATCAAACGATGACGAGATGAAATCGATGTCGACTAATGGTGATCTGAAGTTGGATTGCCAATTTTGTGGCACATCGTATGAATCGATATCCGATCTACAAACACATACCATACGTGAACATGTGCCGATGGTAAGCCGACAACGTTTCAGACGATAAACCTTTTCGTGGTAACTACTCCGCCACGCTCGCACGTGTCCACTGTTCGTTGGCTAGAAACACACCCGGACAACTCGGGCGTGCTCATTCAATATCCTAAAAAAACTCGATATTTTTCTGAATTTTAAAGTTAGTAGAAATCAGCTAATCTAGATTTAAGCTGAAACCTCATTCTGATCATTTTATCTCAATATAAGTCTTTATGGAGCGAGATATCGCGAAAATTGAACGACTACTAACCAGCGTAAAACAAATCAATCGTTTTTTCGGCTCTAGTAAGTCAGTTCTTCAAAATTTTGGTTCTTCAAAAGAGATTACATGACGTCATTGGTCACTTATTATAAGCTAACATTATAAGCTATACTATTATTTCACATGGATAGCGTTTACCAGAACACCTTCATCCTTAGCTCCACATCACATCATTTAATCATTTCGCTCTATTCTGGCGTCCTTTCCATGGAGGTAATCTACCAGTTCATAAAAACGTCTACGAAGTCTTCTGCTACAAAATTCATTCCAAGTTGTGAGTAAGACGAGTTGGTCGATGTGAGCTAAGAGGACGTTCGTTTAAATCTTTTCTCTAGAGAATATTTACGTCTTGATGAGGTCTGTACTCCATCTGCCATCTGTCGTTCGGTCTTCTCATCCCTTGATCGTTTGACATTAATGTAGAATGGAAAACATGTGCATGCATCTGCACCTGAATCTGTTTACTGTTGACTGTAATCTTCGGTAGCAGTGATTACTAGTACTCTTACCAATTTTCTCACTATCACTAAAGTTTCTGAATGACCCCTCCACAAAAAAGTCGCTGGCGCTCTATTATAGTTTCCAATTAAGCTAATGAAGTGAAGAATTGTTGCTCTGGTGCTTAACATTGTTATACTAGAAATTTCTCAGGTACGTACGCAATTATTGACGCTTACAAAACGTAGAAAGTATTCACCTCCTCGAGAGGACAAAGGACCTCTCCCAAGAGGGTAGCCATTCTTTACATCGCTTTATTCCTTGACAGACTTTTGAATAGAAATGTTGGTTTTTAAAATCGCTAACCTGAAACGATGGCGCAAATACATTATGAAAGTACAACTGTAACTGATTCCTGTATTATCCTATCTAATGTGTTCAAATAGCGAAGTGGTAAGACATTTCCTGTAATACACACGTGGTGGTCTTTGGTTTGGTTTTGCGATCAGGGCTAGACAGATCCTCCGTCCGTTCACTATCGACAAAATGATGACGGTCTTGCCTTCGAGGTTAAGAACACTAACCGGATAAATCCATGGGCTAGTGCAAATCATTTTATAGCCTGAATATGTACTTAATTACCTCTACGATGCCCCAATGGAGACGGATGCATTGCACGCCTCTAAGGGATTGAGCCAAGCTCTTTATTATAATTGGATTACTCTCTCTGCTAGCTGCTAATGGTACCAGCTGCTGCAGGATGGATTGTTCGGAGAAAAACAGATGATCATCAATAGACAATCAGTATTAATAAGCATCTTTTGTAAAAGAGCATTGCCGTATGACGTTGCGTTACCCGGAGAGGTCTCTCAAGATTGTACTCTATGCGATCACGAAGATCCATATTGGAGGAAGGAACAAACCTGAACAATCGGCTTGGGTCAACACGGCTCTGATAAAGACGAAGGCGCCGAGACGTTAACCGAATAAAGTTTTTTTTAATCAACCTCGCGTTGGCTTGTCAGTGAAAGGAAGTATAATTTTGATCAATCATGCCGAGGTTAAACGAAAGCCGGTTTTCGAAACATAGTTATAATTCCGGAGATCGGCTTTCTGTCAACCTGAGCGTTGGTGAAATAACTCACTCTACTTTTTATGAGCAAATACGAAGTTGTTACTTTATTCTTCAGTTATGGAAAAACGACTGTTTCAGCGGATTTTGACGAGTCTGGAAAGGTTAAGTTGATTACAATTCACCCAGCTAAACATCTCCGAATCAAAACAGAAAAAACACTGAACACTAAAAACGCGGAAACATATTGTCATTACTATTGATATCAATAATCGTCATCAATAGTAATTCAATCGATCGCAAAGAAGTTAGTGAACTGCTATATTCTCGGTTGTTGCTGCCTCTATATTTACTTCCTCTCGAGCTGTTCTGGGTGTTCTGCTAGGGTGCCTTCCTGCTGGCTTACATGCCCGTCTGAGCATCTGGCGTGGTTGAGTCCCCCCTTCAGCCGGTCCCATGGGAAATTCACCGACGACGGCTAGTTGGATTTGCGAAATACATATTGATTTACTAAAGAAGGTACCATAACATCAATATGGATTCAGGTCGAACAGTCGAATTTTGTATTCGATTATTCGAATTTTGGATGAATTTTGTCATTTTATCTCATCACACGGTTGATCGCTCTAACTATACTAAGCTTCCTAAGAAAATATTATTCATAAGGCTATTTATGTTTGTTCACATCTTTGATATTTTGAGAAAATAAATGGTTCATCTGTACCAATTTGAAAAAATCCTGATATGTTGACAAACTTGGCAGACCCTCCAGCAGCCAAATACTTATCCCAATACAGACTAAATTTCCATTCCTTCTTCTCTTTTTCTCTGTACTTACATTCCATTTAGCTATGTCTTGAGGACTATTTATCCCTACTCTCATCCATTCTTTGTTTTTTCCCTATTTTTGTTTAAACTAAAAGCGTATCATTTCCGTTGTGGGAAAAGTTATGAAGTCCTCTTGAACTAAATTCCTTCTTGAGTTTTGCAATTTTTTGGTTTTTCTGAAGAAGGCGACTTCCTTGAAAGGAAAGAAAAAAGAAGAAATTTTGCCGAAGTCGAATAAGGACGCAATAGATGTTGGCCTTTATGGGATACCTAACTATGCGCTTCCACTCATCATTAGCAGATACATCGCGAGAAGACCTTTTTTTGTAAAGCTGTCGCTAATGCATTAGAAAAAAATCAAACGGCCACATGATTAGTAGAAAACACTACTAATGTAACGTTTTAGAAAACATCTAGGGAATACTGTTGAAAGCCGACTTTCATTTAACTTCGATACGAATGATCAATATAGCCTGTCATTGATAAGCTAACACGAGATTGTTATCAAACATTTATTCTGCTAACGTTTTGACGCCTTTGTCTTCATCGGAGCCGATGATCCGAGTCGATGGTCGTGATCTTTGAGGAAGACGAAGGCGTCGAAACATCAGCCGAATAAATGTTTGACAACAACTTTGTGGTAGCTTGTCAGCGAAATAAGGTACATCCTGAGAATTTCGTAGTGAGTTAGTGACGCAGCTTTACTTTCGAGAAGAGGATTTTTTCTTGTCATTTCAGCCGATACCGTCACTGGAATGTCAGCACTGTTTTGCTGTGTTACCGTCGTTTGCAGCGTTTGTCATTCATATGCGAGGACATCTGAGTGATCGTGAAGACACACGATGCTCACGATGTCCGCTTACCTTCAGTGACACACAGGTAATTATCGATTCATCTAGGAACTAGTCATTATTGCATTTCCGGGAATCATTTGAGTATCAAGGGACCATATTCACACTCAAAAGCTGTTTTAACAAGCCGGACCTTTTTCTACATAGTTCCACATACAAGAACCATTTTCATGCCTGAGAACTAGTTCTATTGAAACCATTACCACTTCGCGAAACTATTTCCATTATGACGATCAAGTCATTCTTCCGCATTGGAGTCACTTACACATTGGGAAACGGGTCATACGTCCACATCCGGGTATCGCCACCAAAATCAGGAATAATGTCTTGTTTTGTATCCAGGAGTGAAAGAATTTCTCTTATGAAATCCAAACTTTAGTCCCTGGTATATAACGACAAGAATAGGCCAAGCATGGCCGAAAGAAAGGAAGAAAAACAAGTGCTTCGGTGGTGCAATGGCGTGAACGCCCAGGACAGGTAATCGCAGGTCCGAAGCTGGCCTGGGATCCGAGTTTTGCTCATTTTTCACCATTCTTGTGGTTGTATTCCACACATTACCCTACAAAAAAAGAATAGGCAGTAAATAAACATTAGGGTATTTGATTATCGGATTTCTGACATACGCAAAAAATCTTGTCATCAGGGGCGGGTAACACAGTGGTAGTGATGTCCGTCATCACGAGCACGGTGCTAGTTCGATTTCGCTCTGGGCCAACCGACCCTCTCATCCCTTCGGGTCGGCAAACTGGTACCGGAGTTGTGTGGGAAGAAATCAGTCTCTGTAATACAATTGCGAACGCTCCAGCCCGTCTATCCCAGGACTTTAGGAAGAATTGCTCGACCAGCATACCAGGGCATTCGAAATGAAATGAAAATCCTCAAACAGCAACTGAAGCCACACGTGAAAATTTAAAAGAACTTCGTGGACAATTGATGCAAGGAAACGAATCGAATGTGAGAAGTACAGGGAGCCGCACAGCAGACGTGAAGACGGGTCATACAAAATAAAAAAAATTTTATCACCATCCTAATTCGCACTAGGAAGCGAGTTATCAAGAGCCGGCCTTCTTCAAGAGAAAATTTCAGGAAGACTATCCTTCCTCTAAGTGTGAGTAAGTGATTTGCCGAAAAATTGACAAACCTCTGTAAATTACATTGGAAATGATTGAAAAAGAAAGGGAAAGAAGTACAACTACGTCATAGGAAAGAAAAGTGCATTAGAAAATCGAAAAAAATACAAATTAACTTTCTTGTTATTCAACAATAAGTCTTTTTTAAAAATGATGTTTGTTCATAAATGATTGGTTTCTTTTTACTTAAATGTTCCCTACTATAAATGATGGTGATGTTTGTACGAAATTCTGGTTGGATGGGTTCACATAGATGTGTCTATCCAGGTCAGGAAGGAGCCGATTTCATTGAAACTGTCATCCCTTCTTCATCCTTTTGTAATAAAAACCTTCTTTTCCCGTATTAATGTTGGGAACGAATAAGACAAGAAGAGGTGGGGTTTTGGAGGCGATGACGAAAACGGACCAGGTCACTTCTTCTTACTCTTTGTAGAAAAGAATTAATCCGCCGCTTAAATGTTTTATCTCAGCTGTTCAGGCCCGTTTGTTGCACTTGGTTTCTCATTTCGAAGTTCGCAAGACTCTACGATTTTGCGTCGACTGCGGTGTTTCGGTTAACGACAACGTGTCACTTGGACAACATTTTATCAAGCGACATCTTCGACTACAGCATCTCTGTTTGATATGTGGTCAGACCAACGATACTCAAAAAGAGTTCATGGTGAGTTAAGTTCAAATTTGTTACAAGTTTTGTATACATCTCTTCTTTTTCTCACCGGATGAGCTTCTAATATGGCAGCGTTACATAGAATAAGTACGGAAATGCAGCAGAAATCTAATGGGTCCATCTAGTCTGACAGAAGCTAATTGAATTGACGTGACGGTCCCTACTTACAAAAAAGGTATAGCATAAGAATACTGCACTCAAGATATGAGAAGAAGGGAATGAAAATCTGATTACACTATCTAAAATGGCAGAGCACATGGTGAGCGGATTGATTTAAGAAGTTAGACACCACTCGCGCTGCAAGCTGTTCATATCTTCTGTGAGATGAACTGATGTAAGAAGAATTGCTTCTTGGAATGTGCACCAGAAAGAAATAGATTTGCCGCTCTCATCAACGTGGGCTTAACCAGGAATATCCATTTCTTCAACTTTGAAAAAATTAAGCCTCGAATCGCGATCTACTTCTGAAAAGGTGTGAGCTTCTGATTTTGGCCGTCCTCACACCTTGCACTGCAACTGTAACAACATAGACCTTTCCTCAGAGTTTTATACAGAACTGGAGAATCGTCTCTTTCACGAATAAATTGATTTATTTTGCCTCTTCACCTGACGTTTGGGAAGATACCGTTATATACACGGCCGAGTTGAGTTAGAAGCTCTCCGTAGCAGCAGTAAGAGATTAACCGAAGAATGAAGGACAGTAAGTGGGAGCCGAAGTGGTTTGGAGGAAAATCTTTAACGTTTGCAGGTGTTTTGTTAACCAACAAAATATAACTCGAGCACATAAATGTTATGATAAAAATGAAATACTTGATAATTGATTCTTGAATGGCCCGTCGTCACTGGTTGTGCGGGCTCCAGCACAATCTCCACTTTTCGGAGAATTGCTGGTTAAGTCATTGTGGCTCCCTGGAATCCCGAGGTCAGCTTGGCCAAAGTCTGCCCCAGATCTTCATCACCACAGACAGTCGCAGCCTTTGTGGATCAGCGGGAGCGTTGCTACCATGCGACTTTGATACCAGGACGGTGGTGGATCCTGGTGTTGGTTTACTCTTAGCTAGGCTTCCTGATGGAAACGCCGGACTCCTTCTCGGCTTGGGAGACCCTGTTAGGGGATGAATCCTCGCTGCACATCGCTGTCCGACACCCAGACACCTAGGAACACCTTCCAGCCACATTGTGGCGGTAAACCGTTGGGAGGAAAAATGAAATTATATTAATAATTATAAAGCACTTCGACGGGAATAACATCTACAAATTCTGGTTCATGTCATCTCTTTGATAATAACGTCCACCTGCCAACAATAACAAGAGAATGTACATATCTTTTTCACCATGAAAGATATAAAGGAGTCCGATCAGGTGATTTTATCTCGCTGAAATTATACAGTACTCGTGACAAAATATCATAAAAATTGGAATGGGACAAAACGAACTAGAAAGTCATCGGCCGACAACCATAGCGGAGTGTTGTTGATGCCATTATTCTTATACTACCACGTAACAGTAAAGCTAAGCGACTCTGGACCGAATAGCTGTCGGTTGAACGTAGAGAAAATACTGCTCATGAGAATCTCATGTTCTTGGAACGTCCTATCCATGCGTTGAGGATAACGAATAACCTCGAATACTCCAGTCATGTGTATCTGGTTCATGAGGTTAATACAATAAGAAACTTTGCTTCAGAGCTAAATAAGATCAAGAGGTAATCGCCGACGATATAGTGAAGAAAGCAGAAACATTCGGGTACGTACTGAGCTCAATGATTCTTCCCCTCCTTAACGTACCCATCGGAAACATGTTCAACTACATAAGCATTGAGAAAGATCACTCAGTAATATCTAGAATAACAGTGTTGGGGTTAACATGTTTCACAAAAGCGTCAACGTGATTCCAAAGCTCATATTTGCATCATCGATCAACAATCGTGGACAGTATCATGGATGCCTCACAAGATATCAAAGACGTGAAGTGCGCTGTCAAGTGACCATCGACTGGGTGATGAGAGTTTTTCAAGGAAGCCGTAGAAGAACAGTACGCTGCTTTTTGTCCTTGAGCCAACGGAACCCACTGTTCACCAAAGATAAATTTAGGCTTTGCTAGCTTTAGATGGTGTCATTTGCGGATCATCACTTAGCGACTTATGGGAGGAAAACTAAGAGGAATGCAAAAGGTACAAGAGGATCTGTCGTAGCGGAATTAAGCAACACATCCCTTGAGTTTAGCTTAGGACAAATATATAAGGCAGTAAGATCTCAATTCGCTTTTATCTGTTAGAAATAAAGTCCAGGAATTCCAGGAACATGTTATGAGCCACTCAAACGAGTTAGTGTCACTTGCATGTGGACCATGTCGTATCAATTTCGAGTCTCATGAGCTCCTTGCTATGCATGTACAGCTTATCCATGACAAGTACGTGAAAAAAATAGATTTAATTTAGAAAATCGCCGATTACGTGGAACTTGTAAAAGGTGTTTTTTTTAATTCAGAGAGCAATCATCGGACAAGACAAACAACTCAACACCAACAGTGGAACGAAACACTACTGCACTGAACAATTACAACTATAGCGCAAAAGAAGTGAGAACAGAATAAACATCACTGTTGATTGATCGTAGTTAAATGACAGCTAGCTGATTTTGAATTGATCTGAAACCATAGATGAATCGGAAAACCCATGGGTAAATGTCCAAATTTGTTTTTGTAGTGTCGTGCAGAGTAATCTGACATGTACTCCTTCATTTATATAAGATCGATTACTACGATCTCTCTCAGATTATTACAGGGACGTATTCTGCACTGTTCCGTGTGTGATGAAAAATGTTACGGTGAAGATGCATTGGACGAACATCGGCTGTTCAGTCATTGCAAAGTGAGCTGATTTCCTTTCATTTAATGCTTCGAACGACAAGAACACTGATGATGCGAGAACTTGAATCTTTACCATAAAACAAAAAGATACACTGCATTATTAGTTTTTTTTTTGAGATTTTCATTCAATATTTTCATTTCGTGAGGTACACGTAGGCCCTCTCACCTGGCATAAGGCCCTTCAGTAATGCCGTTTTTGGCGAAAAGTTGGTTACGGATATCTCCCTAGAGTCTGCAGTACAACAGTTCCATTCTTATCCGAGTTTCGTCCACAGTATGTGTGACCCCGCTGGTAGATGAACCAACATTCTGCATAGTAGTCCAGCACAAGTGGACGAAAACCAACCATGATGAGGCAGCAGACAATTAGGGGACATTCGCATTAAGGGGTAAAAACATTCGTTGTTTATCGATCCCTTAGGAACGTGCCATGAATTCCACTCTATTAGGCGTTTCAAAGTTCATTGGATATATATTTGACCAGTGCAATAAGTTCAGTGTACTCTGGGAGCTATCGATATATCAAGTTAGATTTTTTCTTTAACCCAGACAATACAGCTAGCAAATTAGTTGGATACAGGAGGGTTGGGGAAGTAGATTCTAAGTGCTGAGTCAAACCGATGCCTATGCGCATAGCACGGTGCCTCCAACCACTGTGTAAATGGTATCCACATCCTCCTTACATTGTGTTTTGCCAAGTACCTCTTTATGCGTCTACTTCAACTGAATTCTGAAGACTGCAAAATACTTGTAAACAAAAGCATAATGAATGTTGAGATACATACGCGAAATTACAACGATGTAATTAAGTGGAAAAAAACAGTGACGAAAGCAATGTTATCAGGTGCCACGAGCGGACGCATGCGCGACCTGTCAGGCGCCATTGACCAACGCCGATGATTTCGAGAAGCACACCAGAATGCACATCACCGATTTCTATATGCATTGTGCTGTATGCAGGTACGATTTGCAACCGCAAGGATGCTGATATATGAGCAAAACTCGGAAGCTAAGGCGAGTTTTGAGCCCGCGGTTACCCCATCCGGCGGCTCATGTGCGGTTCATCTACTGCAACAACCGACGCCCTTGCCTTGCCGTTCTTCCAGCCACTTTTTGCTGAGGGTGCTATCAGTGATCACTCTCCAACGGGAATGATCTGGGAGAGCACAAGTCGGCGTTGAAACCAGTTAAGCCGAGGCTGTAGTCGAAATCACAATGTTTGACTTCTATTCACAGCCCCTTTTAATTTCATAGAAAACTAACTTTACCCTACCAGGGAAAGGAAAAGGCAGTAAATAGAAGTTTTTTTACATGACGCCTCATCACATCCGCTGCGCGGGTCCCGGCACTTCTTGTATACTCGTCTCCACGTATTTATCGTCCACAATGGCTTTCCATTATTTCGCATGTTGCAGCATCACTAACCATTGCGCTACCCTTCATCCTGAAAGAAGTTAAACATTATTTCTACTTCTGTTCAGCAAACACAAGGTGCTATTTTATTTCTTTATTTACGCACAAGCTGACGTTTCGGCAGATTTCGCCTTTCTCAGAGCTTGGAAGGGTCAACTTGACAGCAATCCATTCGGCCAAACACCTCCATAACCAAACAGAGAAAACTCTAAACCAAGATTTCAATCACATTTAGCATAGCTCTGCACGCTCACCGCTTTCCTATGAGTCTTCCACTGAGTATGTCGCGTGAAGACCGACCGGACCAAACTCACATGGAAGCGTAATGTGCTCCTCCCATCAGAATAACAGGTTTATATACTGTCCAATAACGCGCGTGATAACGAGGCATTCCTCCCTGCGGTTCATTTTCGGATTCTTGGAATTAATCCAGAATGCCTCTAGAGTTTTGCGCGCTTGTGTTCTCGATTCTTGAGCGAGGATCGTAACCCTTACTTCAAAATCTTCTCCGTTATGTTTCTGCGTGCTATGCGTACCTAGTGGAGTACTTGGCTTACGTTTGCCGACTAGGTGTTCTTTTATACGTACGCAGAGTGGTCTACCCGTTTCGCCAACGTATTCGTCCCCGCACGCTTTACAAGAGATCAGATAGACTGTACCCGAACTCACGCAGTCACCGTCTCTACCATTGGAACAAATTATGCACTTTTGCGTTGCACATAGACGGTCGTATAGGCGGTTACGAACTAGCTGGCGTCTAAGATTACTCGGTGGTATTTGGATTATCGTTACCGAATTCTCTAGACTGGCCCGTCTTGAACAGCGTTTTATAGCTGCACTTACTTCATTTGAAATGAAGGGCAGTATAAACGGGACCTTGTTGTCGCTAGAGTTATCGTTGGGGTATCTGTGGTTTCCTCTACACCTATCTCGAGCTACGGTTTCGTAGCCATTAAAAATGGCTATTTGCCGCGCCAAGTTCCGGGACTCCTCTCTCTGTTGTCTTCCTGTGCACACGCTGGTAGCTGTTCGATACATGTTTCTCACAAGGGCCCTTTTCGTGTGAAAGGGATGAGAGGAGAGGTAATGAACTAGATGTTTTTACTATTTGGCTTTCGATAAATCAATCCCCGCACTGTACATCGCAGCCTGCCCTCCTATAACACCTCCAAGCCACGATGAGGCGATAAACCCTTAGGAGGAAGTGCTTCTAAGATTGAAAACCAGCAAAGAGGGGCTACAGTTTAATATGTTGGTTCTTGAAAGCCTGATACCTTGTTTTGCCTTTCTCAGATGGCAGAGACATAGAGCTTTATATTGACAACCACAGGAGCCATGTGTGGTTTACATTCGAATGATCACAAATGACAATACAGGCCACCCCTGACTCATACTGTCTTGAACCGCGTTTTCTTTTCTTGCGTACAAAGTTTCTCCGCGATATTTTTTGCTTTGAATTCATTATTTCCTCCCATTGGTGTCGTGAACACATTTTTGAGAGGTGAACATAACACTTCTCCTCTCATCCCTCTCACACGAAAAGGGCGCTTGTGAGAAACATGTATCGAACAGCTACCAGCGTGTGCACAGGAAGACAACAGAGAGAGGAGTCCCAGAACTTGGCGCGGCAAATAGCCATTTTTAATGGCTACGAAACCGTAGCTCGAGATAGGTGTAGAGGAAACCACAGGTACCCCAACGATAACTCTAGCGACAACAAGGTCCCGTTTATACTGCCCTTCATTTCAAATAAAGTAAGTGCAGCTATAAAACGCTGTTCAAGACGGGCCGGTCTAGAGAATTCGGTAACGATATTCCAAATACCACCGAGTAATCTTAGACGCCAGCTAGTTCGTAACCGCCTATACGACCGTCTATGTGCAACGCAAAAGTGCATAATTTGTCCCAATGGTAGAGACGGTGACTGCATGAGTTCGGGTACAGTCTATCTGATCTCTTGTTTTTTTTGAGATTTTGAAGTAAGGGTTACGATCCTCGCTCAAGAATCGAGAACACAAGCGCGCAAAACTCTGGAGGCGTTCTGGATTAATTCCAAGAATCCGAAAATGAACCGCAGGGAGGAATGCCTCGTTATCACGCGCGATATTGGACAGTATATAAACATGTTATTCTGATGGGAGGGGCACATTACGCTTCCATGTGAATTTGGTCCGGTCGGTCTTCACACGACATACTCAGTGGAAGACTCATAGAAAGCGGTGAGTGTGCAGAGCTATGCTAAATGTGATTGAAATCCTGGTTTAGCGTTCTCTCTGTTTGGTTATGGAGGTGTTTGGCCGAATGGATTGCTGTCAAGTTGACCCTTCCAGGCTCTGAGAAAGGCGAAATCCGCCGAAACGTCAGCTTAATCGTGAACAAAGAATAATAACACCTCGCGTTTGCTCAGCAAAAATACGAAGAAAATAACTTGATCAATGCCGAGGTTAATAGAAAGTCGGTCGTGGCAGATACATCATTGCGCATAACTTGCAGAAGTCGGTGTTTATATCAGCTAGTCATGTATGCCCGGAAGAAAAAGAAGGTGTTGCCACCGAACATTATCATTATATCCACCATCAGCATCGTGTATAAAAGGGCATCACTGAGTGGGGATGCCTCATTCGAGAGGATGGCTCACTGAGGAAGACCTGACTCGACACGAACGCGAACCTGCAATGTCGAGGCGAACAACAAGCATGGACCATCGACTCGGATCATCGGCTCTGAGGAAGACGAAGACACCGAAATGTTAGCCAAAAATAAATAAATATCATTATCAACCTCGTGTCAGCTCATCAAAGAAAGAATGCATTATTATTTCAATACTTGGCTACTTATTAGAATAGTTTAATGACACAGCTACATGGCGAATCATTCCACGAGTTCGAATGCAACGATTTTACTTAACTGGTATTCCTCTGTAGACCGTTCAGCTTCCACTGGATTGATACAATTTTTTTATTCGGCTAGAGCCTCGACGTCTTCATCTTCTTCTGCAGATTCAAATCGATTGTCTGTCGCCGCTTGCGATGTTAGTCTTCGTAGTCGCATCTAGTCGCGAATTTTCTGGAGTGGAGCATCGTCCGAATTATGTCACCACACCCCACGATCGGCTGTTAACGATCAACCACAATCATCACGACTCTGAATGAGATCAAGACGTCGAAATGTTAGATGAATGAAGAATTTGTGCTAACCTTGTGTAAGCCGATTAATCTAAAAAAGTATATTGGATGTTTACGCCAAGGTTAAGTGTTAGTCGGCTTAGTAAAGTATAATTTAACTGCTATGTTGTTGGATGGTTCTGAAGTCTGCAAATGGGACCAATTGTTACAAAACTTGTGTGAGAGAGTGAAAAACACTAACTTGATAGATCGCGTAAGTCACCGCAAATCCTTTTTTCTTAACTTATTACGAACAGTCTTTCATGTCTGCTATGCTAATCTCAACGATTCTCGCACTCGAATCCTTTTCCCGCATCCATCAACCACAAAGGTGTTTCAATTTTGCGTGGGAATTCGACTGCTGCTCGAGGGTTCACCTCTCGTCATTAATGTCGTTGAAGCTAATCGAGTCTAACCTCCCTGGAATCCTGAGATAGCAGGCCTAGAGCGTTCCCACTTCGATTGCAAAGAGTGAATTTCTTCCCAAGCAGATAAATTTCTCGACCCCGGAGAGATAAGAGGATTGATTAGCTCGGGACGGGGTTGAGACAGCACCGTGCTCGTGATGGTCGACACCACTACCACCGCGCCACCCAACTCCTCTTCAAGTCACTGTGAAAGGTAAATATGCATTCATTTACCTCTACAACACCAAAAATTGAATAGAATGAATGGCAAATCGCTATAGTATAAGATCAACGCCGGGCGCTTTATCTCGCATCCATTTTGCTGCGATATAACGGTGAACGGTGAACACATTATTCCCTTCATTCTCGGCGTTTCGGGAAACAATAGTGATCAGTAAGATCGATCGAATTGATGGAATTTTAGAAAGAACTCCTATTTCATTTTAACATCAATACTTATTTTGTTTAAACTTGTTTTTTATTTAAGGCAATCAATTCGTAGTGAAACACAACTTACACTGCACTGTCAATTTCATATGCAGAGACGATGTGACACTGAAAACGTTGAACAAACATGCGGCATTTGTGGAAAGGTAAATGGATACTATAATAACTAACCGATTCATTTTCGTTTGAACCTTCGAGGTTTAAACTTTTCTTCCTCATCATTTGGGTTTTCTCTTAACTTTATGCTACATGTTTAGCTAATTCCTGAAGGAAATCTGCTAAGAGTTTGTGATCAACCTCAAAATGGTTATCTCTTTGCTTGAGGTGGATCACCCATTGCATTCTTATGATTCTTATTCTTGTAGGTGATGGTGAATCGCTATCAACTCAACGTTCATCTAATGGAACACGACGATCGTCGATGTTGTCCACATTGTCTTCGACCGTTCGCACTCGCTCAACACCTATTGACACATGTCGTTGAAGAACACAATGAGGTATTCTTGGTCTCTATAAATCTCTGAAAGAGTTCAGAGATTTAAGGAATATGCTCCCATTCCCAAAGGTAGGTTTGTGAAAAGAAAAGGGCCTCATAGCAAATCGATGATGTCCTTCTTGTCATCCGAATGAGCACCTCCCTCTGGGCAGTAGGTCAGATATACGATGGTAACGAATACAACCTGCTGGAGTCTAGTCGCACTACTCGGCAACTGTAAGGGCGTTGCAAAAAAGAGAGAAGCTGGGAACAAAACATAGAAATTTCAGGAGCAACCACTTCATTGCTGCACCATGTGTGATGAGAGCTTTCGTTTTTCAATACAGCTCGAAAACCATATGCTGAAACACGTTTCCGAGCCCAAAACAAGGTAATTAATCTTAACTTTTACTCATAAGTTCATGCAAAGCAGTTTAGAACAGTATGAGAAAACTGTCGCGGAGCTGTCTTTCAAAAGAAATGGGATAAAATTTGGGCTGGAAATTTGGAGAACATAGATTTGAACTTTACAGCAAGATTTTTGGAAACGCTTCTATTGATATTTATACAATTTCAGCACAAAATCTGACGACACACCGCCACCATCTGAGTCTTTTACTTGTCAGCAATGCACGATGGTACGTAATATCGGTAGACGTTTCGGTCATTAAATCCTCTCTAAACTACATCGCCTACTCGTAGGTGTTCTCGTCATCATCGGCTCTGCTATCGCATAGTCGGTCCCACAGCGATTCGCTAAGACGATGCCCATTATGCGGATTGTCGTTTAACACAGCAAGTCGTTTTGAGAATCATGTCAGAAAACACGCGACTACAACAAATTGTGTGTGTCAAATCTGTGGTGACGGATTTGCGAGGTTCGTTCTTCACTTTCACTTTCGTCTTCTTCGTCAGTTGAGCAAAATAATTCTTGACTCGTTATTGGAAGTGGTTAGGATTTATCTTAATAAAAGCTGTAAGACTGAAATTAACCAGAAATAAAAGAACTTCAAAAGTTCTGTGCAATACCATTCTATAGAAGAAATCGAATAAGCAATGAAATCGAAAATTCTCTATAGCAACACGTCTTAGTTCAGTAACTGATCTTATCATTAGAGCATCAGTGAAAAAATCATCTACACGGTCCGCGATCATATTCTCAGGAACTTGAATAACTCTGTATGAATTTACAATAACCTCGGCCAATACCCATATCTGACACGTGCATAAATAAAAATGTGTAACATTCGACTAAGCTTTCGGCTCAGAAGTGTTGAAGCAAATTGATAACACATGGGTCTGGTGAATAAAATTATTGTTCCAAAGAAGAGTCATTCATCAGCATGTTATAAAATCAATCGTGATGAGGAAATATTGATCGTTAATATATCCCAGGAAAATTAGCACCTCAATTTTAGCCGCGACATACTGGAGCTGCACATGCAGATTCACAAAGGAAATCTGGAACTCGGTTCTCATAACCTGCTATCCTAACTCATCATATCAATTACGATCGATGCGGGAATCTTCATCGAGAATCTCTCATGTTTCCCTTGTTTGAACTTATCTCAAAATCAATAAAGATGTTAATGTTGTTGCACGAAAGAAAAAAATTAAGTTTTATGTGAAAAAATATGGTTGAAAAAATGTTGTCGAGGCCTAACTTTTGTGATGTGCAAATGGGTCCAGCGCCTTGCTTTCGGTTGCTATCGCGGAGAATCACGCGTGACGCACCATAGCCAGAGGGTCTCGCAGCAAATGCCTCGCGCTTTTAGTTGCGCTTTTTGTTGCACTTACTTTCCTGTGTAATTCTCCTTTTTCTCTATGTTATTTTTTGTACCCAGTATTTATTGGTTTTCTTCCAACTGTTTACCGCATCTCCGTGGCTGGCAGGTGTTGCTGGTTGCCGGGCTGCGATGTATAGCGGGTAGTTTATCTCTTAGCAGGTTCTCCTAAGATGAGAAAGTGTCCAGAGTTCCAATCAAGACACCTAGCTAGAAATAAATCAATACCATGTTCTACCACTGTCCTGGTATCAAACTAGTCCCATAATGGTAAATCGTCCTCTGATCAACAGGAGCTGCGTCTGCCTATGGTGTGACGACCTGAGGCAAACTTTGGCCTGGCTGACCTCGGAATACAAGGAACCAGAATGGCCAAACCAGGAAAACTCCGAAATAATGGAGCTTATGCTGAGACCCACACAACCAGTCAGGACGGGCCATCCAAGTAACCAAGTAGGCATTTATTGGAATCATCTCGCCTGAGGATCACCTTCTCATTCTCAGGCGTTGGGAGACTGGTATCGGACTTGTGTGGGAGCAACCGACTGCCTGAAATCCAAGTGACATGGTTCTTGCTCGATTATCCAGAAGTGAATATAAAGCCGACTAGACGAGCGTGCAAGGACATTCATAAGGAAGATCACAGTCGTTAAGCAGCAGCCAGACCTACATGCAAAATCTTCGAAAACTTTCGTGGTGATGAACACGAGAAAACGAATCGAATACAGGAAGTACTAGTATCCGTATAATATATGTGAAGCGGGACCATATTGAATAAACAAACGATAACCAATGTGTATTTCGCATTCTCCGAGCATCTATCTTTTTCTGTTTTTGGAACCTAGTAGCTCTCAACTTTTTTAAGTGACCCATCTTCACATCTACTGAGCCGATCCCAGCACTGCTTGCATTCCATTCGCTTCCTCGCACGCATTTTGCACAAAGATTTTTAAACTTTTCATCAATGCGTTCAGCTGCTGCTTGAGGATTCTGTCTTCCACATGAATGTCGTTGAATTCCCGTCCAATCGATTCTCCGTACAGTCCTGGGATAGTCGAGTTAGAGCATCTGCACTTAGATTGCAGGAAATGAACTGTTCCCAAACAAGTCTGCCACCACTCTCCCAGCCTCGGGGAGATGAGGGCTTGGTGAGCCCAGACTAGGTCGAACCAGTATCCTATGAGCAAGAAACGAGACCACCACCATTGCGCTATCCACAGTGGATTACTATATGGTGAGAAGAAAACTCGTGCACCGTTGGATTAAATTGTTGTCAACATTTGGCAAAGCTCTACCAGATAGTTAAAGTACATTTCGCATCTATAGCATATGTTAGTAGACCAAAGAGGATCAACGCGTTTTAAGATGGTAGGTTACTCGAAATGTCCAACACGAGGAAAATCCTTGTAACGATCCAATGACCTAACTGTGCTATCCTAGTGTGTACGTGTAGTGGCTTCTGTATGAGCACGTTTGAGCATGTGTAGTACGTTTAGTGCAATGGTTAGAGGCGAGCTGCTTTAGACACGCTTAATTCTCTTATGAACGCCGAGCAAACAAAGTCGCCCATCTTTTCAGTTCTAGCAAAAAAAACGCTAGTATACCACACTGCGAGGACCGCTCTAGTGGTTGTACAGATCAGAGAAGCATTCAATCTTCACTACGGGATTTTGATTCGTCTATCAGTCAGGAAAGGACAAATTATCGTTGCCTCATCTTTATAAACATTGGTTGTCCATTGAAAAATAAAGAAGTTCGGGTTGTTCTATAGTTAGATAATTTTGTCAATATGATTACTTCAGAGTATATTTGATCCGGATTTTACTAATGAATTGAAAAAGTTGCACTCAAAGCGTCAAACCTTCTATGAATGCAAAAGATTCGACGAATTCCTGCGATGTCGATATGGGAATGAACCTGAATGGATATACAGGCACTCCAGAATATCATTGCTGCACTCAAGCGAAAAACAAAAAAAAACCAGACTTGACATCAGTCACCTTGAGCGCTCCCGTCTGCAGCGTAGGGCGGTAAAATGTGGTAGTAAAATCTCGGGTTGCCGAAACCGGATCGCAACGACACGTCAACCACATGGCACTGGGAACCGTTTCTTCTGACATCTACAACACCATAATGGTCTCTTCTAATGCTGGTTGTTGTGTTATTCTTTTAAAAATCGCAGATCCACATAAAGTTTTATGTGATCACCCTGCTGGAGACGAACAGCAAGAAAACCGTAACACATCAATCAAAAGGTGGTGCCCTCATTATTGGACACTACAACATGTAAAGGCAAAACCCTATGGTATACAAGTGACCATACGTTATCGAAAATAGGATGATATTGCTAGTAGAATAGAAGTCTTAAAGAAATTTTCTTGAAAAGTCTCCACGTTTCTCATTGTTTTCAGACAATTTTTGAGAGATGGACAGATTTAGGGGGATGCCCGGCAGAGATTGGAAAACAAACGCTTTCCATTATTTTAATATTGACTAGGCTTTTGTATGTGACGTTCTTGGTCCACGAGATGGCGACAATCTTCAGGATGACGAAGCTTTCATGGTAACTAAGGTTAAGGAAAAGGTAAATAAACACTTCCAGTACCCTACTATGACCCAACTGAAATATCATGTAAAAACCACAAGCTATAAGGCCTCTTCCAAATAGTGCTTACTTATTTCCGAAAGGACTTATTCAATGCTCTTCATTGGCGCAATAGAACTAACTCTGCAGAGTCGAACAGTCTTATAAGCCTTTGAGAAGCACATAGCCGCGCTTTTTTTTGCGTCGCCAAATGTTTCTTCTTAAATTACCATTTATCATGGTTCATGTGTTAGGTTTGTTTCGAAAATAGGTTGAATCTATTACTGACCGGTATTGTACGAGCTTCCCAATTCGAAAACTAGGAGATATTTCAAGTGCCTTCAAACGAGAACATAATTTTCTATCAAAACTTCTATGATCTATCAGCCTTATAAAAACAGGATTTCTCCCAGAAATTTTCTATTGCTCATGTCTCTTCCCTTACGTGCGATGGCGGAGTAATCCTTCTAGTATGCGGCTGAACCAAATATTTTTTACGAAGGGTACGGTAATCGAATCCAGTGGTGGACTGTGGTACCATGGAGACATTAAGAAACATCATCTAATATTTGTGTGGATGTGACCAATCCGTGAAACCTCACTTTCTCTCATTTTCTTAGCTGTTATTAGTTAAATTAAAATGTGAATCACTTGTACCAAAAGTTTTCTTGTTGACAGTTGTGTTACTTGATCAGGTATGAATAGTCTTCAATTGTCTCTATCACGTGCAAAAGTGCTGCAATAGGTTCTCGGTTCTGTTTTCGAAAGGAAATCTAGGAATGTCATTTGGGATTTTAACGTTTATACGTTGACCCGGTAATCTCCTCGCTATACGCTAAACATTGCGTGGACCGAGGTGCTAGCGACTGCTGTCCAAGGTGTGTCGGTACGACTTGTTGCTTTTCCGCCTAACTTGATTATCGAGTTCGACATCTTGAAGTGCACGGCAACATCCTTGATGGTATCCGCTGGAGTCATTCGACGATGAACGAGCTACAGGTGATACAGAAGATATCAGTAACTAGGGAGGGATTGCGCTGTGGTTAATGGTTTCATCAACCAGGAAACAAAGGCGCTAGGTCGATCCGGTTCGAGGGTGATTGTGGACAACGAATGTGAGGAAAACGAATCGAGCGGTAGAAGTGCTAGGGTCCGTATAGCATATGTGATGACGGCTCATGTAACAAATGCATACCATTAACTACATTCTAAATATGTCGATTTAACCCAATGTGCTCCAATGTGTTCTATTAGAATTGTGAGGTTCGTTGCACGCGGTAGAGTTTTGTTTTAAAGCTATCTA